AATTTTTGGTATAGTAGTTGTGACTTATTCACACTATATACATTTGGCTTCCGCAACAATTATATAAAGCTAGCTCAGTAAGAGACCTTAGGTTGCCTATTTCTGCTGGAATAGAACCATTTAATTGGTTGTCAACAATATGAAGGGTCTTAAGCTTTCTTAGTGACCCGATTTGTGGTGGGATTGTGCCCGAAATCTGGTTGATCGACAAGTCAAGATAAACTAGATTAGTGAGTTTACCTATTTCGGGTGGTATGGTGCCAGAGAGCTGGTTCACGCTAAGATCAACATATTCAAGAAAAGGGAGAGATGAAAATGGAAACTCATAGAGTGTGCCAACAACACTAGCATTTGTAATATTCAACCTGTTGACCCTACCATTTAAGCATGTAACTCCATACCAGCCCCTGCATGCATCAGAACCTTTCGCTCCGACGCTGGAAGAATTCTTGGAACCAACAGGACTTAGTTTCCATGAAGCCAATAAGGTATTATTCTGGTTTTGGAAAGTTGCTTTCCATTTGAGGAGAGCAGTTGCTTCCTCAGTGAAACCATAAGTAACTGTGAAGAGATATAAGAGAGTAAAAAACTGAAGGAAAGAAAATATTCTGGGAATCTTCATTATGGTTAATCTCAGTTGATTGTTTTGGTTATTGATGAACTTGTGCAGAAGTAGAGTTCTATAGTGTAGTGAATCATTAAAAGTCTTGCGAGTCAATAGGTATTTATTTTCTCAGCTTGTGAAATACGGGTAGAAGGACTTCAAGTCAATGAGTCAATATAATGTCTCACTAAATCCATAGAAGGAAAAAGGAAAGCATTCCAATTGGCCAAGCTTTAAATTTGTGGAAATATAGAGAGATTCTTCTCCAGAACTATTCAGAAGTCTTTTGCATTGACGAACTAATGGACATGCCTGTCAATACTTGTATCATCTTCGTAATGTGGAATTATTGCAAGTTTTTCTCACACACATCAGATCTGCTTACTTGGTCAGAGAATCCACTGGAAGTACCTACAAGGTGGAGCAAATTAAAATTTGACGATGAAAATTGCAGAAAAGGAAATAATTTCGAAAAGAATTAAAGCGAAAAGGAAAATGAATTGAGAGAGTGTCATAGACAATTGCTGAAAGCTCCTGAACTGGGCTGTAAAGGAAGAATTAATATGAACTTTTAATTTTGAACAGCCTGCTGGAGCATCCAATATTTAACTTTGAATTTTGTTTTTAGGTTTTGCTCCATAGCCACAGTCGGAGAAACAAAAAACAGTATATTTTGCTCCATTTCCATACTAGCAGAATAATGTTAATCATCTTTAGATGGGAAAAATTAATTTATTATGAGGGTGAAAATTTTTATAAAGAGTTGTATATATTGTATTTGTCAAAAATTATCTTTAATATGATCAAATCATGTTAACATTAGGAACGTATTCGCAGATTGCCAGAGTTTGCAAGGATCAAGGTCGAGAAGTCGACGTGGATCAAGGTCGAGATCGAGCATCTTAGACAGGGTTATAACGGCTAATCTTAGAATCGAATACAAAAGAAAATATTTTAGTGGATATTTTTTGTACATGTACTATTAGAGTTTTTAGGAATATGTTCCCTGTGAGTAGAAAAAGATGGGGACATGACATATTCATTTGTAAAGAAACACATTGACTTTATCGAGAGAATCTGGCCTTATTACAAACATACAAAAATAACTTTTTTATTAGGGAAATTTTCATAAAGCACTATCTTTTAGTAGTAATTAGTCATCTATAGATATCATTTGCTATATTACGGATTATATATACCTTTTTTGTGGTTATAAGATATATTTGATGTATTTAAGCTATTGTATTCATGAATACAGTAGCAAAAATAGGCGTGAATCAGGGAAATCCAGCTAATCAGTTGTTGTATTCGAGTGTATTCGACTGTATTCATCGCGTGAAACATGGGATTACAGCGGGACAGATTATTGTATTCTGTTTTTAAATGGAAAGTGTATCAATTAACACAATAGACTCCTAATATAACTCAACAAACTCAATTATAACACACAAAATTTGTATTTCTTGTTATAAAAAAGATTCTCAACTGAAAAATACTCCAAAAACATAGCAATCTTAAGAGAAATTATATAATACATCTGAATACATAAATTATATTAATTATAAAAACATATGAATACATTCATGGCATATAGCGAGACAGTGAATACAATGAAATACATAGAATACAACGGGATACATTGAAAAACAATGGAAAAAAAGACAATGAATATAATGAAATACACGGAATACAGCGAGATACATTGAATTATAATGGAAAAAAAGACAATGAATATAATGAAATACACGGAATACAGCGAGATACATTGAATTATAATGGAAAAAAAGACAATGAATACAATGAAATTCATGAAAATACAGCATGATACGTTGAGAATACATTGAAATATATTAACAGAAAATCAAGTTGCTCAGCCCCAAACTCCGTTGTCTTTGCTCAAGAACAAACCCTAATTTCCGCCTTGTAGCCAAATAGAGCTTCTTTCGATAGTCGGCGAGTGTCATACGGCGTCGGACGGCTTCTTCTTCGGTAGACATATCGAAATTTGCTCAAAGATCTGTGGAAACTGCTTTCTGATATCGATAATGAACAACCTCTCAACTTGAGGACCAAGCAATGTTTAGATCCCTTGTTCAGAAAGTACAATACTTTGAGCACACCGTTGTTTGAAAATATATATTCTACAATTAATTATTATTGGGAAATTTTTTTAGTTGAGAAGATGCCGCTAGAAGGAGGAGGAGAGCGAAAATTTTAATGGGATGGGGAAGAGAATGAGATGTATCAAAGTAGAGAGAGAAAGAAAATAGTGTAACTGAATAGCGTATTTAGTGGTTTAGGACTAGGAGGTAACCAAAATTAAATATTTTGCTATAAACCTTAAAAGGTATCTATAGAATATAATTTTTTTAAATGGTATTTATTTAAAATAAATAAGGTGTTAACATTTGCTATAGGAGGTAAAAATTCCTTTTTACTAAGATTCTTCTCTAGCTTTTCCACTTGATCCACGAACAACCTGAGTGTCCAAAAGCTCATCAATCATTCATTATTGTCAGAGAGAATATCAATAGATCCCAGTCCTTTTTGGGTGACTTTTTATTTATTTAAATGTCATCCGTTGCTATTTATTATTATCTAATACTATCTTCCATATTTTTGTATTATTGAATAGTGTTATTATGGCTTACATTCATTACCATTCGAACAAACATACATTTTATCTGCCATAAATCCGACAACCTTATTTTTTGGATATTATCACCTAAGATTAAAACTATTTTACTTAAATCTAATTGGTTGAACCCAGATCTATATTTTGGGTCAAACATATATTTGCTCCATTACGGTTCCTTGAACATGCCTCGGTCTTCAAATAACATTACTTTCTCCATCTTTCCTAAAAGGAAAACAAAATGATTTCCAAATTGCCTTTAATGAAATTCTAGTCCTTTCCCTTTTGGTGGAGGATCTTTTCATTTGCATTAAGAATGAGTTTAAAATTTCCAGTTCGGAGATGATTTAAGAACACTGAAGGACTTGAATTCATCTTGAGAGTTAAAAGAACCAATTGGTCTAACAGGAAATGCTCTACTATTTAGTATTCCTACAGCCAAACAACCAAAAGTAAATGGAAGGTTATACCAGCCCCGGTTTATACGGCACTACTGAAGCGGTAGCCCGGGCGTTGCCGGGCCCAACGGGAATAGAACTATACAATTATAAGTAAAAGTATAGTGACAATGTCTCCAAAGGATGAGCTTGTATAGAGAAATGGGAGACTGCAAATTAGCTATTACTGAAATGTTAGTCAGAAAAGAAATAGAAGACTACACAATTGCAACAGAAATCTTATTCTTTTTAATCCTGCTCTCTGTAATCCATATGTTACCCAAAAATCATATGGCTTTGCAGTAACACCTGATGATACAAATAAACTGTTGCAACAATAAAATTTTAGTAAAAATCTCAAAAGTACTCTTATAGCACTAAATGAGCTAAAAAAATCCGAGAAAAGAAAATTTTGCAGCAGTTAGAAAGACTCGTATAAAATTCATATGAAGGTCGAGAACCAGGTCGCATGTGGTTAGCATTCCATTAAAATGTGAGGAAGCTAAAAGGTTTCCAGAGACTCTAAGAAGACGCCAATTTCTCCCATCAACTTGTTCATTCTTATGCTTTTCTCATGTCATTTGGATGAACCAGTGGTTGTGTATCTATGTGATGTCCAATGAATGCATAACAGGGTCCTGAGAGAGTACAATGAAAACCATTAGTTTTTTTAGAGGTGTCGATTGTGTAAAATACAAAATACAATCGCTTGCACTGATAAAAGTGCAGAAGTGAAAAAAAAAATGTATTGATGAGCAAGGAGACAAATTAGATATGACTAAAGTTCTACCGTCTCAAAATATGGCTACCTTAATTATATATTATGGTACTCCGATATTTTATACGTTAAATATAGTAATAAGAAACAGTAGTTTGTCTTGAGTATTTTATTTTAGCTATGAATTGCTCAAGCTAAAATAAAATACTCAAGACCATATAAATTGCTCGAGCTAAAATAAAATACTCAAGACCATATAAATTGCTCGAGCTAAAATAAAATACTCAAGACCAAGCTAAATAAAATACTCATCTTCATATTAGTAATTCAAGAAGAATTGTCAAACCTTGATAACCCTTTGGTTCTCAAGATTCATAAAGAAAAGTGTAGTTCCTAATAAGGAGTTGGTGACCCAAGTCCAGCATTGAGATTGTCATCTGACTAATAATTCACCTTAGTTGTGGTCAGCAGCATCACAAAGATATCTTGATCTTTTAAAACCTTTTCTAGCTTTGGTTTGCAGTCATCGGTTGACTGCTTTATATAATCCATATGTTTCACACACTCAGAGGGGGAAAAATAGGATTTAATAAGACATCAAAAGTGCTATCTGCTGGAGGTCATAGTAAAATTCCGAGAAAGTTAGTACTCTATATTTGTTTGTTTTACATAATCATTTCCTGACCTAAGGTCAAAACCCTTCAGTTCTTAAATCCCAAAAAGCTTACTTAACCATCTAAGACGCAAAGATATTTTATATCCCTAAATGATGGGTAAGAAGACCCTTAACTTAGCCAGTATTCATACAATTGAAAAAAGGGTCAAAAATTGCTCTTGTAAAGATATGATACTTATTTCAAGGCAACTGTCAAGCCAGTAATGGTATGATTGTGAGGACCACCTTGAAGTCCAGGAGAGACTGCCTGATTGATTTTGTGTTCATAGTCGTACAAGACCTTCAGAATTAACATAACATAATTATGCTATTAGTTTCAACACTATTAAATCAAGTATGATGACTATGTGATACCAATATAACTGAAGAGCAATATTGTTGCCTATTTCTGATGAAGAACAAGACAGTCGAATATTAACATATCATCTACATGAGAAGTTGTTCCAACGTGATTGACATGATTTATATTTTTCACAAGGCGATTAGTTGTTGCTTCGCGAACGAAGTTTTAGGCGTCGTTGCAATAAATTTTCTTCTTTCAAGGTCATTCCTAAAGAGTCATCTATTTTAAGGTGTTTGTATCCTTATCATGAGCTTCCATTACCGAGCGAGGGCCCCTTTGTTTTATTGTCGAATATCCGTTAATCTGAAATTTTTTGCAACTATTGGAGCTCCAGCTGTCCTGAGGTCATTTTACAACAATAGAATTATGTTTTTTTAATCAAATAGCAAGAGATACTCAAGAAACAACAATTAAATATAATGAGCAAAAATAGCACAACTATTTCACTTTATTTATTCTGTTGTAAGCACGTATGATTATAAAGAATACTATTATAAAACACCGAACATGTAATATTTACACAACAAATATCTTTAAAGGAATTTAAGCTCTCAAATTAACAAAGTAAAATGAATTATGATAAATTACGTGTGGTTAGCTAAGAATTGTTTAACTTAATGCAAGAAAGTATTCGGAGAGCTTGTAATAACTATTGACTTAAACTTAATAAAGAAAGTATTCTCTGTCTAATACTCAAAGGAAAACAATTGTATAAGCTAAATATAGAAAAGTATATTTATGAATACAATTGTGTGACTCCAGGGGTCATGTGGTACTCGAAAAATCTTCAAAAATCAATCTTTCTAATACGAAAACACTTGCAGGAACTTATTTTATTTTATTGAGTAGGAAGAAATAAAACTCTACGGAGAAGCATAGAGCAGGTATACAAAAACTTATTCGATGATCACAATCAATCAAAATGATGTCCTAGCTTCTACTAAAACAGTAAAAAGAGGAAGATAATTAAATCTAATAAACTAAGTTCTCTGTCATTTTGTTGAGTACTATCTAAATTAACAATTTGTGCCAACTGCCAAAATCTCTTGTTATTTGAGATCCTCATCAATTTTCATAGTAGAGTGAATTACATGCTTTCTAGTTATCGTTAAGTGGGATGCTGATAAAGTTTTGGTTTGTCTGTCTTCAAATATAATCTAATTGAATCGTGGAATTGGTCTACGGCCAGTTGCATTGCCATGATGCATTATTGTCTAATAGAACAGTTAAGTGCCTTTGATTAGGTAGACTAACAAAAATGTAGGATTAGGACCTCTATTACCTATCTTATGTAAATCTGCTTATTGAACACCATTTCTGTGTGTCTATGGTATCTGTTTCTTTATCAACCCTTCCTTCTAACCCCTGGTCCACTATTACTGCCACCGAGTTATTCTTGAAAACTCCAATCATTACAATAACACTTTTAGATCTAATTTCTACAAGAATTAAGCATTCCCGTATCCCATAATTGTATCAGTAAAAACGATTATGGCATGTAGCAAAAAGGATCAACTTTTATAAAAACAAAAAACACCCAGGTGATATAATGTAAGCCAAAAATAAAATAAAATAAAATAAGCAATCATATATGAAACTTACCCTTTTAAGGATAAGGCAGGAAACTCCAAGAAACTGAGTGTGTTGTGGGTAGAACAAATCAAGTTGGGAATTTATAGCAAGAATTGGAGATAAGGCACAGGTATACAGGATACAGAATAGACGAAGAAAATAGAGGAGCAAGTCACAGACGACAACAGAGGAAGCTGTAGTAAGATCAAGGTAACTCCACAGAGAACATGCTTATGCCAAGCACGCACGCGTCAAAATAGCAAGAGAAGCGGGCAGCGCGTCTAATTTTGTAAGCGCATGAGGCCCTAGGGTTTTTTCAACCGCTGCTACATTGAGTATTAGGGGCAGAACAGGAATAAACTATAATTTTCTGGGTTTTTTGTAAACTCACATTGACCAGAAGCTCCTCTCGATTCTCATTTCTAAAGAGTAGTAAAATTTCAAGAATTGAATTCATAAACATTTAGCAGTTGTATTCAATTTCCAAAAAGAACTACTAGTTCTATAATACTACAAATTTCAAAAGTCTTTTCTTCTTTTTTTCCTTTTAAAATCCGTGTTGATTCAAACTACACCATCTAAATTGAAACGGAGGAAGTAATATCTATTGACAAACTATACGTCAATTGGCTTTTATGGATGCTATTTGCTGAATAAATGCATTAAGTATCCAATTGCGAAGCAACACAAGAAGTTGCTTATTACTAAGATTTGGAGGGTGTTTAGATTCGCTTTTAAGCTGGTCAAATCAGTTTTTAAGCTCTTTTTAGTTGTTTATCGTGAAACAATGTAGTTAAATTTATATATAGTTTATAGACAAGTGAATCGATTTGATCTAAAAATAATAGATGGATTAGATAAAATGGTAAGACTTAGAGGGTATTTGGTTAAGCTTATAAGCTGGTTTGTTATAAATATTTTTTGACTTATCTACGCGTTTGGTAAAGTTAAAAGTGCTTATAAGTCAAAAATAAGCCAAAAGTCATAAGCTGGTCACCCCAGCTTATGAATTTTTAGCTTATAAGCACTTTAAGTTTGACCAAGATTTTTACTATTTTATCCTTAAAATATTCCTTTTTTAGAACAAAACTCCTACATCGAACTCATTATTTATTGTTACACCTAGGGCACAAGATCACAGGATCAAACTCCTCTTAAATGACAATTATGAGAGCCATTGAAGAATGTGTAATGGTGGGCGGTGAATGGCATATTCGCTGTAACGGATTATGCACTTAATGCTATAGAATATTCTTCATTGAATACTACCGGATGACATGCATTTATTTTGCCTTTATGAATATCATTCTTTCCGATGTCAAGCGAGATCATTGCCTTCGGGTCCGACTATTTTTTGTCTCCACTCCACATCACTTTCTCGTGTGATCATTAAATATGAACATATTTTACCTCATACAGTAGCTTTTTTCAGTGTTTGGCAAAGTTAAAAAGTTCTTAAAATAAGTTAAAAACTGCTTAAAAACAAGCCAAAAGAATAAGTCGGGCAACCCCAACCTATTGCCTTTTGGTTAAGTTATTTATGCTGAAAACTCTTTTTTTTAAGTCAATCCAAACGGGCACTTGTTCTAGTGGGCTTAAGCTTGCTCAAGATTCTTTTGGGTAAAATCCAAAAACTTCTACTTTAAGTAGGCGTTTGGACATGAATTCCAAAAAAAAAATCAAATTTGAAATTTCACTAAAATTTGAATTGAAGATGAAGTTGTGTTTGGTTATAATTTTTTCAACATATTTGGCAACTAAAAACTAGCAATCTTCCCATTTTCAATTGAAAAACTAATGCTCACCAGTTTTTCAATTCGAAAATGCATTTTCAAGTGAGATTGAAAAAAATTGTAAGATTTAGATAACCAAACACTGTTTTCAAAAAAAAAAAAAAAAAAAAAAAAAAAAAAAAAGAGAAAAATTTCTTATGTCCAAACGGGTATAAATTGGTCCTTTAATTTACTTTCTAGATTTGCGATAACAGAAATACACCAAGATAATTTAGGGGCAAAAGGATGGCTAGCCAAAGTGGTAAATCCTGGACTTAGGGCTAGCAAATGGGCGGGTTGAGCTGAATTTAGATGGGTCAAAATGAGTTGAATTAATAAATGGGTCATTGTCTAATCCAACCCAAACTTTACTTGGACTGAGATGGGTTGGGTCAAGATGAGCTAAAAATAAATTATGGCCCAACTCGACAAGTTTGACCCATAAGTGGATTTTTTTCATTCCTATACACTATTGGAAACTTTATTACCCTAAATATTCATGTTTACTAAATTACCCTACCTACACAAGTTTTGTTTACAAAATATACACATTCCCGTTTAAAAGGCTCTCAATTCATTATTAGTGTCTTCAATTAAGGGATTTAGTTACACCATTTACCTTTTTTCTGAACTTCTCTTTTAATATCTTCATTAATAATAGAAATTATATTGTCACTTGTTCATCTTATGACTAGCTATTCACACTAGCTGTGAATTTGCACTAATTCATACAATTTGATATCACTTGGTTAGTCAATGTTAGCTTTAGTTGAAATCTCTAGACTATTTTAGACCGATGTTATTCTTATTTCTTAGTTTTATTTTCAACGTTTTTTCTTCTTATAGTTTACACCAAAATTATTCCTTAGTTTTACTTTTTTTTTTTTAACTTTCTTTCCTTCTTATTTACGGGGGAACGTGTAAGTTTATTTTTCGCACACAAAATAACTATAACAACCATGATTTAAAGAAAGGTAATTTCTATATATCTTAAAATATGATACCAATAAAAATATTTCTTTTATTACAATTTTGTCCGTTATACTTAGGGTCTATCTATTGTTAATAATAAAGAAATTAATTAGTTCCTAAATAAAATGTGAGATTATTTTATTTAGTGTATGGTTGGATTTTACGGTTTCATGATATCACATTATATGCATATTCAATGATGAAAATTTCAAATAACAATTTGAAAATTTTGTCCTAAAGCTACGTCACACAAGAGGAAATGTATATAGAAAGAACATCATCTATTTTCATCTTTTTACAGCACGACTACAAATACCAAAGGATTCGGGAATTTTCTAAACTTAAACAAAAATCAATCCCATTAATGTTAACAAAATTTTGACATGGGTCCATTATTTGGAAGACTTTCCTCCAAGGGACAAATTTTGAGCAAAACGATTGACATTGAATCTGGGATTAGAGGAAAAATCTGTATATACCAAATCTAAAATTAAAGAGTACGTACTACTCTGTTTGCTTACAAGTTGAGCATATTTTAGGATTCAAAAGAACTAATCTACAACTTATCTACAACTTTTATACATTATTTCTATACAGTTAAATACAACTACAATATCATACAACTTAAATACAATTATTATACAAGTTTTATACAATATGTCCTTTGTATATTTTCTATCTGATTTATGCATAGTAAAAACAAATTTCAAACAACTAATTATATATATTACACAACTTATCTACAATTTTCATACATTATTTCTACTCAGTATATACAACTACAATATTATACAACTTAAATATAATTTTTATACAATGTTATTCAACTTTCATACAATAGTTAAATAAATAAAAGAAAAATATATAAACAACAGAATACAATTTTACTATAATTTTGTAAATATAATGTATATTATGTCTTCTTCTTCTTCTTCTTCTTCTTCTTCTTCTTCTTCTTCTTCTTCTTCTTCTTCTTCTTCTTCTTCTTCTTCTTCTTCTTCTTCTTCTTCGTCGAGTTTCAATCTGAAATTTAGCCAAAACTAAGTCTAATCTTCACCAAAACCCCTCAAAATTGAGAAATAAACTCCAAACCATATTCTCAATTATTTGCAACAACACCCAATCCAAACGAATAATGATTTTTGAAAACTCAAATTCGAATTCAAAGCTTCAAAGCTTTTTAATGGTTGTCAATGGTGGAATTGCTGTTCTCTTTTCATTTGCTTTACATTACTAAAATTAGGGATTGAGAGATAGAGAGAGACGCAGAGAGAATTCCCAATTCTTTGCAACAACATCCAATTCAAACAAATAATGTTTTTTGAAAACCCAAATTCCAATTCAAATTCAAAGCTTTTTAATGGTTGTCAATGGTAGAATCGTGGGTGAGTGCAAGATACGTGGTGGAGGGGGTGGGATGTAGAGAGAGAAATGCGGGGGAGTGGAAGATATGTTAGAGTAATTTTAGGATACTAATTATTATCATTAATTCCCTTAAAATATACATAAATGGTAATTTGGTATATAAAATGTAATTATAGTAAAACTTGAGTAGGGAAGGTAATATAGTTTCATAAAGTGTATAGAAATGTAAAAATTCCTTATTAAATATCTTGATGTCAGGTAATCACGTTTCACTATAATGTGCCCAGCTATTGGAGATCAAATTTGATATTCTATATCTCTATTTTAAATCAATTTGATAACTATCATACATGTTTTGTATAAAATTATCTCGTATATTATACTATTAGTCCCAGTAATTATTTTTATAGTTATATAAATTCATTTTGCTATGGATTTAGTAATTCAAATTAATTACACATTAGTATTGGGACGTTCAAATTTGATACTGATTTGTAATTATGTTCATTATACTAGTTTTGCAGATTCAAGAATTCAAATATAATATTGTTGCAACCAAATTGATTTTTAATTGTTAGCTTGCTATTTTATTTTTTCACTATTTATACTACACCAAAGTTAAATAAGGATATATCTGTGCTGTCAAACACTTACGTGCATGTAAATTTCTCTCTCTAGTGTCAATGCTAGAGAGAGAAACGTATGAAAAAAGAGCAAATATTTAATTTATATAACCTAAAAAAAAAGATTTTATTTAAAAAGGGAATATACCAAAAGTTGAATGGCAAAACTATTTCCATTTTCAAATCCCTGTGATACCCTCTTTAGTGCCACAAATGAATCTCCTCAATTAAAAGTATTAATGGGTTAAAGGCTTGAAGCTGGGGAAATTTGGGTAAAATTTGCATGGGTCATCCTATTTGGTCGCCCCTATTTAATCTATACCATTTTTTTTTAAAAGTTTTAACTTGTACCCACTGTTTAAACAACTTCAGGCCTCTTTCTCCTCCTTCTTCTCCTCCTTTGTTTTCTGAATGCTGAAGTTTGAGATATTGTTATGCGTTCTAGCCTGATGATTCGTATATATCTGCTTATCCCATTATGTTTAGTTGGTCTTACATAATAATTTGACCTCTTAGATATTTTAGTATTATAGGCACATTGGTTTTTGGTTCTAATTTATCT